CCCCCCCCCCCCCCCCCCTCCCTCCCCCCCGGAGAGAAAGGGTTAATTGGAGTAGGAATTTCATCGCACATCTGTCAGATTTTAAGGCCGTGACGCACTGAAAGCAGAGAGTCAATGTGAGCAAGGGGGAGGAGGAGGAGGAGGAGGAGGAGAAGGAGAAAGAGTTGGTGGTGAGATCGATGAAGTGGCAGGCAGAGGGAGGAGGAGGAGGAAAATCTCACGAGATAATGAAAGAAAAAGAGGAGAGCTGCTAGTGGAGAAAAAAACGAGGCTAGACCCGGAGATTTTTTGGAGTGGAAAACAAAGACCGAGAAACGGGACCGAGCAGAGCGGGAGAGAGCTCGGTGTGCAGCCGCAGATGGTTTTTGCTCTCTGCTTTTGGTGAATGTAGCACCCCGGGGCGCAGCGGAGCAATTGTGTGAATCTGCAGGGCTGCTCGGCGACACAGTCGGAGACATGCACAGGACGGACAACAGCCGCGGACGCGCTCTGAGAAGTGGATCATAAAGGTAGGGTTGTGGAGCTGTGTGAAGCCGCACGTCGCTGTTTGTGTGTCTGGATCGTCGCCTCGCTTCGTAGTTAGTTAACGCATCGTTCACATTCATTACATGTGCTGTGAATATGCAAACGCACCTAATACGCACTAATGTTGTGCGCCTCGCACGCGCGCTACTTGTGTGTCGCTAACTTTGCATAAAGAGGGAAAATGGCATGTTTGAGGATTTTAGATTTGAAGTGATTCAAACAGTAATGTCGGTGTTTTCTTGGTGCGTTCGCGGGATGTGTGAGGAGAGATGACCCAAAGGCTTCTCTCTGTTGTTGTTTGGGATGCACGAGTGTAAATGAGTCTTTAATGCTGAACACTGAAACGTTATTTCCTCTCTGCACCGATGAAAGTTGAATGTGAGCCTGTCTTGTCTCACGCAGGCACAAAGCGAGGCTTCTGCCGAGGAACACAGCTGAGCACCAAAGACACCAGAGAGCTGCTGATGCACAAGAGAGAATAAAATCTCAGTAAAAGCTCCTGATGCTTCTGCAAACTGCTTCTCTGGGAGTTTGAGGGAGTTTGAAGACAGTACTTAACGTTATCAGATAATTAATTAGACACCCCATAAGCCCGGAAATCAATTAATTCACAAATCAATAAATCCATAGTCTGGTGTAACAAGAGAGCTGCAGACTGTTGGCCCCGCTGCTCAACAACAATAACAAGAGACGAGCAACAACACACAGGGGCCGCAAACACACGCTTATTTGCTGAAAGTGAAGATGGATGGGAGTCTCGGGGAGATGTCCCTCCACAGCCACGCTGATCTGGCTCACAGTCAGGACGGCAGGGCCATGCTGCACACGCGGGACCTTTCAGCTGCTTTCCCCAGGCCCTCCCTCGGGGGCCCCTCCATGTCTCTGGAGCCCGAGCCCCGTCCGCCGGGCTTCGACCACTCCATGTCAGCACTGGGATACAGCGGCGACTCCCCGTCCAGCACCGGCAGCACCTACACCACCCTGACCCCCCTGCAGCCCTTTGACGACAAGTTCCACCACCACCACCATCACCACCCCTGCCTCCCCGTCAGCAACGTCATCGGCAGCTTCACCCTCATGCGTGAGGACCGAGGCCTCAGCACCAACTTCTACAACCCCTACGGCAAGGACCTGGCCATGTCCCAGAGCCTGTCGCCCCCCTCCTCGGGGTCAGGCCTGGCCTCCTCCATGCACGGCTACGGCAGCTTGGGCAACAGCCCCAATGGCAACGCTGGTCAGATGCTCCACGCCGGCTACGACGTCCATGGGGGGAGCCTCTTCTGCCGGACGTCGGACTTTGGGCGCGAGATGTCGCCACCGGGCCTGGGAGGAGGCGATGTGTCGGTGGGGCATCAGCTGAACAAAATGGAGGCTCACCAGCACGCCCCGGGCCACCACCCTCACATCTACAGCCAGCACTACCAGCCCCACCACCACCCGAGCCAGCAGGCCTCCAAAATGGGCGAGCACCTGCACTCCTCATCGTCCGCCTCGTCCTCGCCCGGCGAGGGCATGCTGCCGGGCGCGCAGGGCAGCGGAGGCGGCGGGGAGGAGATCAACACCAGGGACGTGGCCCAGAGGATCATCACCGAGCTGAAGAGGTACAGCATCCCCCAGGCCATCTTCGCCGAGAGGGTTCTGTGTAGGTCACAGGGCACGCTGTCTGACCTCCTGAGGAACCCCAAGCCCTGGGGCAAGCTCAAGTCCGGCCGTGAGACCTTTAAGAGGATGTCCCGCTGGCTGCAGGAGCCCGAGTTTCAAAGAATGGCCTCGCTCCGGCTGGAGGGTAAGATCTGGCTTTGCTCTCTCTCTGCCTCACACACACACACACACACACACACACGTATGTACACACTGTGCTCATACGGAAACCACAACAACAAACACACACTCTCTCTCTCTCCCCCGGTTTTCCCCAAACACCTTCCTTCTCCATGTCTTCCAAAAAAAATCTCCTCTCCAGCAATCAGTATGCAGCTCAGGCTGAGACATGAGGAAAAGCAAAAGCATCATCCTGATGTTTCTCTTCTTCACAGCGCTGTGGATGTAGCACTGCTTCATCTATTGTCTCAGCAGCCTGATAACAACAACTTAGCAGCACATTGAGACAGTTTGAGCAGAGAGGGGCCATATGTGCCATTCCTTTGTTTACTTTGCTCCCAAACAGCTCCTATTGATCTGTACAGTAGCTACAATAAAAAAGCCACAGACATTTGCCCTCCTCTTAAACCAAGCATGAAGATCAGCGCGAGCAGCGCTTGGCAATTTAATCGCTTTTGAGCCCACAAAATAATTTGTGCAGATATGCCATTCTGGAGCGATTGATTAATTCTAGCAGTGATTTATATCTGCTCGGCGTGCGGCTGAAGTTGAGTTGGCAAGGTAGCTGATGCAAATTAGACTTGAGCTTTTGCCAGACGTCTTTTATCAACGTCGTCACTGAGGCAATTACTGCGAGGCTAAATACAAACGCTGTCCTGCTCGGAGGCTCGCAGCATCCTGAGAGTCCTCATATGTGGAAAACAAGAGGTTGTTGCAGGACTGGAGGCTGCTGTAATCTGTAGTGCTGCATCCATTAGTCAGTGGGCAGAAAATTAATTGCATCTATTCTGATAATCGATTTATAAAAGTCAGTTATCGAGCAAATTCAAGCAAATTTCTATCATTTTATATTCAGAACATTTTTTGGTTTTGTTAATCAGACAAAATCAATTTAAAGAAAACATTTAATTTCTAGTTTCCATATTTTCTGACATTTTATAAACTTAAACGACGACTTGGAAAATTACTACACAAATTAATCAAATGGTTGAATCAGTATTTATCAAGGTATCACAGGCTAGAGATTTTTTTGAAAGGCACATTGTAATCTGCTGCTTGACATTTAATATTCTTTGGGGATGTGGATTGAAGACACGACAGCACGCTGTACAGTGCCGTGTTACAGTGTTGTCCCTCCACAGGGACCGAGGGCCCATCTGATACACGCAGCACAGAAAGAGATCCAAGTGAACACAGTAATATGAGACGAGCATACACGAGTGTGTGTGTGTGTGTGTGTGTGAGTGTGTGTGTTTCACTGCGGGGGTCTGTGAGGAGTACGTGTGTGTGAGCCTTCCCAGTTGATCACTGCTTTTCGCTCTCTGTCAGCAGCTCGACTGATTAAGCCCAACAACACAATGGAGTTCATAGGTAATGATTGTGCACTCTTGCAATCCCTTCACAATTATTGATCTTTGATTGTTTGGCTCTGAGAGCACATGTGTACATCCTCCATTCAGCAAAACGTTGCAGCAATCACAGCCAAACCCTCTTATCTAAAGATGACTTATCTGCGGGTTTGTTCTGTAATTTGACAGAGATGTTGTTTGATGAATCTAATCCTGAAAGCTTTGTATGGAGAACGCCTCCTGCTGTCACACACAGACCTGATCATCTCCCTCCTTTGTTCTCTGGAGCAGATTCCTCATCATCAATCTCTTTATTTGTTTCTTCATCTTTACAAACATTATTTTAATGAGTCATTGTCCGAGAAGCCGATCAATCAGGCTCATAAAAAATTAAAGTCCCTACACAGAGCAGTGTGCTAATGTTTGACAAAGCTGCTCTCGCTGCTCCCACACACTCTGAAATTGCATATTTAGTTCTTGGCAAAGCCACAATTTGGACAGCTCGGCACTTTTCTACATAACCTACTTTCCGAAGGGGGTTGTTGTTTTTCCCCCCCTGGCCAACCCCCTTTTGTTTAATTACAAGCCTCTATTGATTTCCATGGGAAAGAGCAGCACGCCTTGCCCACACACACCTCGGCCGCATCCGTGAATCGAGACTGGAATTAGAATGTGCGGTGCCCTGTGCTCCTCAGTCTGAAGATAGCTCAAGTGCTCTCTGCTTCACGCCTCAAGTTTTAAGATGATCCTCCTTAATGCAGCACTCGCTTAAATACATAGAAGGCCCTTCAGTGTCAGCCAGCAGCACCCAGTTATTTCCATAACTGTGTCTCTGATATATGGAGGGCTGCAGAGCTCGCTCAGTCTGGATGCTCGGTAATTATGGGATGTAGCTGCTGCCATTTTGTCTTTTCAAATAATTGTCTTTCTGCAGAGACATTTTGCTAAAACACGGAGGAGGTGATCCCTCAGATTTATCCGCAGTATCTTGTTTTCGTGTGTGTGTGTGTGCGTGTGTATGCTCTATGGATTACTGCACTGTATATGAGATGCATCTCTAGCCCAACCTCAGGCTGTGGAGGAGGCAATCAGGATTTAGTCGGAGAAGGAGGCAGGATAAAGACCACACAGCCGTGCTCCGACACTTAAAGTCAAGGAGTGGGGGATCAGAGCCTATAACTTTAAAGATGATGGCCGAAGCCCTTGACTAAAGGTCTAAATGAATAAGAAAGGTCAATGCGGTTTACGTGTCGGCTCCAGTGCCTGCACCACCCCCACAGTAATGAAAGCCACAAAGCCTCGTCCACCTCTCGCTGCGTACAGTTCACATTCTACCAGCGAGGCTCAAAGGTCACAGCCGATTCCATTTGCATATCAGGAATCGTAAACAGGCCTCGGCGAAGCAGCACCTACAAACAGGGTTGGGTTTTTTTTTGTTGTTGTGTTTTTTTTATCTGGCTCTTGCAGCTCCCCCCACTCTGGCGCTGAAGGGGTTAACCAGCCTCTGTGGGTCGAGGAGTCTGAGCTGCACAGATTTAATCAATAATTTCTATCAGCCCCTGGCCCAAGAAATCAGCAGGGGGTGGGCTGGGGGCTGCAGGGTGGGGGTGTTGGGGGGGTGTTCTGGCTGGGAGGGGGGGTGTAGGTTGAGACGCCGGGGGGTAGGGAAAGGGCTTTCGATCACGTTTCAGCAACACGAGACAGGGGCATACATCATGATTAGGGGCTGTTCCCACGATCATAAGAAGCCTATAGGGGAATATTTATGTCTCCAGGAGTAGCCCCAGCGCCGGGGATTTATAGCATGGTAATTGTGAGCCTTTTACACATGATTACAGCATAAGGAAGCATTTACTTAATGGTCGGCGTTATGATCGTCAGTAAGGCAGAGAGCCGAAGATGGGATGGAGGCAAGGAGGAGGAGGAGAGCGGCAGGACACCCCGACTCCTCCAACAAGCCATAAATCCACGCTACAAGCAAGCCAGCCAGCACTATCATGTCATTCCTTTCATTAGTACATGAGCTGAGAGTGCACCACTGTATACACCTTGTATAGCTGCAGCCCACCTCCCAGCCCCCAGCCCACAAATATTGATGGTGAGGATGGTGTAACGCCCGTGAAAAATGTAGCTTTCAGAAGAAAAAAAAATTATTTCACTTGTAGTGATATTGACATGCGGCTGACATCTTGGCCTGTTCAGATTTTAATGAGACGTGGTTCGATAACTCTCAGAAATGCAAACGAGCTCTGGATGCCTAAAAGCTAACAGGCACCTGTAATCTCCAGTTGACAAGGGTGCATCCCCGAGTCCAAACATTTCCTTCAGATAATGATTCAGGGGAGGACGCACACGGGGAAATCACGGCCAGATTTATTCATGTCCAGTCCAGTGCTTAAGTTTCAGAAACTCAGCTGGATGTCAGGGCAATCAAAGTCCAGCGGTGCCGCACACACACACACACACACACACACACACACACACACACACACGGCTCCCCGCCCGCCTCTGGTGCTGCTGTTGTTGATGGCACTCGTGTGGAAAAGACGGCAGTAAGGTCACACTTATTTCTCAAGCGCTCTGCTAATGAGAGAAATTTGCTGCTGTGAGTTTGAGGAGTGAAGAGCGGGTCATACAGTAAACATCAGCCCTGGCTGTGTGAGATGGTTCTCAATGGGAACATGTAAGCCAATCAATCCAACGTGTCAGCGCCGCTCTCAGAGCAAAAGGCACCGTCTCTGCTTCATATGTTTGCAGCATGTGTGATGGGATTGTGTCTCTGAGAGTGGTAAGGTTTGAAATATTGGATTTCAAGGTTATTGCTGGCTGATATCTCCATCTAATCAAGTCATCGTGCTCAATAATAGAGGACCATAAAGCTCATTTACAGCTGAAGAAATCTGCCAGTGCAGTGAGATTATTTAAAGACGTTTCCACCTGAGAGCAGCTTCTGTCTTTTTGCCACTTAAATTTTATTTGGTCCTTTTTTTGTAAGAAAACAGAACATGATCATTCTCTGTTTTTATAACAGTCAGGGCTGTAAACAGGAGGCACTTAATACTTACATGTAATTTACCTTAATTATCGAAGCAGACAATTAAAGGGAGGCGAACCAGCAAACATGTTCCTTATTCCAAGAAGTGTGCTGTCCATTTTGTCCACGTTGCAATGTAGAAATCATTTCTCAGTTTAGCAGGAAACAGGGCTGCAGTGGTCTGAGATTTCTCTTATTTTCTTAACCTTAAAGGAATGAAGACAGAGGGCTAATTTTTAGTTGAACAAACTTTTATTACTGTTTATTTCAAATTACTAAAATTTGAAACCAATATTTAAATAAAAGTTTGTGTAGGAAGTAAGATGAAGTTCAGACTAACCGCTGAAACCCAACATGAAACCATTTTTTAAGATAGTAGTTTGTGTAAGAAGTCTCCCTTTTGAAAATAACTAAACATTTACATTGGTTCAGTATCAGTATATAAGCAAATATACACGGTATGATAAGCGTCAATTTTAAAATCACAGTGTACCTTAAAACCAGTATATGGCTACAGCCATGGTGGGAAAGTCATTCAGGTCTTTCCATCTCATGAATCTGTTGATGATCATAAGCCAGTTATCTTCTGGAGGCAGGTCGACTCGTAGTCATTTACCAGTGATTGCTACTGTAAATATATTCAATCAGTATCTGTCATTTCCTGTTAGTCCTTCAGGCAGGTCGCTCAAATAAAGTGACGCACATGTCAGAACCCAAGAGTCTGCTGCATAATTCCTCAGGTATCTCTGCAGGTCCAGGAAACATGATGTGACTCACCTCATCATCTCCACACTGTCTCCAACGTTTATGGGAAAGCTGCTGGATTTGAGGATTTTTCCATTTCTTGAACAGGTTAACATTATGTCTCTGTTTTGGGAGATTTCTTCACTTATTGCAGGCGTGTCCACAGTGCGGCTCGGGGGCCAATCGTGACTTTAAGCAGCCCACGACTTGTCTTTCAAAATATTAATCATGTGACCCACTGCACAATGTTGGTTAGTCAAAAAGTTCATTTTGCATTTTTTCCGTTCACCTCACGATGGCAAAGCTATCACAGTTTGTAGCACCAAGTAAGAACCATACAGGCAGAACTAAGGGACTGTTCTCTACTTATCAGAGTAGAGGGGTGGCTGGGATATAACACTCTGTGAAACTACAAATATTTTATAGTGACGGACAGAAAATCCATGACCCTCCCTCCACCACAAATTAGTTATTAGATTTTTAAAAAACTTACCCTTTGATGTTTGAAAGTTAAAAGTTGAAGATGAACTGAATCACTGTTTTAAGATCAGTGACGGATTTCTGACGGAAGCGTTTGTCTCACATGATGTGTCTAAGGACCGTCGGAGATTTAAAAATCCAACGATAATTTCTGATTTTACAGTTTCTAGCTGTGATAAATGTCATTTTGGAGATTTTTAGAGAAAACCTGCCAAAATTACATCGTTAAAACTTGGAGGGAAAATTTTCTTTAAAAATCAGATTTAGATTTGTCTGCCCCGCCCCTAAACCAAAATAAAAACACAAGTCCCTCCCCAGTGCTTAAAAATGATTTGACATGCCTCCCTCTTTTTGCACCACCCCTCCCCCCTCATAAATAACTAACAGTCCCTCATAGTTTTTCATAAATAGACGATAGTCTACATAACAGCTCACAGTTCCTGCTCAGCAGCAGACATGGCCACGCAAAGAAGCGTAAAGTCGACAGCGAGGGCCGGCGCTTAAATTCTTTCACAGCTGCGTTTGTGTCATTTGTGTGTGATTTGTGTTTTTAATAATCCATACGATGTGAGAAGCAGCAGGCCCCCAGGTATTTTTACATCATCTAATCTGGCCCCCATTCATCACAGGACAGGCTGTGGACACCCCTGACTTATTGTGAGCACAAGAATGATTTCACATAAAGATGTTTTAAAATCATGTCAAATATCATGGAGATCATCAGTTCTGATTTAACTCTAAATAATAAAAAGACAGTTTAAAGACATTGCAGCACAGTCGGTAAGAAAAACACTGTTGTTTACAGCTTCCAGGCCTCCAGGCCAGTGTTCAATAAGAGCCCAGCATCGGCACCAATGCACCGTTCCTCCCTTAGTGTGTGTGTGTGTGTGCGTGCGTGTGTGTGTCCTGTTGTGTTGTCTGCACATACACCAATGCTTACACTTAGAAACGCGTTTGATACCATCAGCAAAACAGTCGCTCAGCCACACAGTGCTGATTGAAACCTCTTAAAAGTGTGCATTTAGGTAATTGCACGACTCCCCCAAATATGTTTTAGTCCACTTAAGGCTTCTAAACACCGCGGGCAATGCCGACTCTGCTTGTTTCACTCACCCCTGACGTAACCCGCCTTTAATAGAAAATAAATTAGTTCCCCCTAAAGTGATTATTGCTCACTCACTGCCGCCACATGTAAATGACTTTTATGAGAAACTAATGATGTTGAAGTGTCCACTAAGGGAAAGGGAAGAGAGGTAGTGGAGGGAGATGGACAGAGGGGGGGAGGAGGGGGGAGTTGGCTCGGTACACAAAGGCAGAGGTTGGTGTTGTGTTTCCTGTAAATACAGAATTACAGCGTGTTGGAGGTGAAAGGTTTGGCGATGGATATGCAGAGAGGATCATGCAGCCTGAATTTAAAATGCTTGTCTGATTCTCAAAATGGATCTGAGCTCAGCCCACACACAGCAGGCTATTTCTCCTCTCACTCAACAAAACTGGCTTTTCTATTCTTTTCTTTTTTTTTCCAGGATTTTTTTTTTAAATTTCAGACTTTTCGTGAGGAAATATTGATTATATAATTGGGCAGGCTGCCGCAGCTACAGTGGTGTTTAACCTGGACCCTGAGTTTTTATTTAGTGGTTGGTGTAAGCAAGTCTGGCATTAAAAAAACAAATTACCACAAGACTTCATCACCCCCATCACCCATTAAAAAGTTTGAACACGGAGAACTTTGACACTGAGCTAATTTTCCCTCTGTGGTGTGAAACAGATATGGAAATACAGCATGTGAGGCGAGGCAGAGTCTGACTTAAATATGGAAACTTTATCCATCAGTTTATTGTAAATGCAGCTGAAACAAAGTTAGTGTTTCAGTAATCTGTGATGTTTCTGTTGTGAGTTTATAAATGTAAAACAGCCAGACACCACACGTTCTATAATCGATTTAATAAGCTGCAGAAGTGACAAAAGAAAAAGGTGTTATTGGTTCTTCTGCAAACTGTGTGTTTGATTTTTTTGGGGGGGGGGGGAGACATGGCCTCTGTCAGTGCATGACAACACCACATTTTATCTTTAGGCCAGATGCAAGTAAAAATGCACACAGTGTTTTCCAGAGGAGCGTAATGAAAGCCATGAAGAGCTCCGGCCTGGATGTAGTTATCTGTTTTATCCCAGCAGCTCTCTGGCAACACGACGTGATAGGTTGAACATCTTGATTCCTGCACAATGAAACAAGTTGCTGATTCATCTCTTTTAACTAATCAAAGTTGCTTAGCTAATCTGTTTTCTTTCAACAAATCCACTTTCCCTCAGCTAAATCCATTTGTCCTAGTTAGCCAGCTAGTCTGTTAGCTAACCTGCTTCCCCTTTCCTTTTTTAATTTATCTTTTATCCATCTGCCTGCAGCCTGCAAGCGGAAGGAGCAGGAGCAGAGCAAGCTGGAGCGCAACCAGGGCCCGAAGCGCACCAGGCTGGTGTTCACAGACCTGCAGCGGCGTACGCTCATGGCCATCTTCAGGGAGAACCACCGCCCGACCAAAGAGCTGCAGGTCACCATCTCCCAGCAGCTGGGCCTGGAGCTCTCCACTGTCAGCAACTTCTTCATGAACGCCCGCCGACGCAACGTCAACAAGTGGGCAGACGAGGGCCGTCCCTCCTCCACGGGTTCCTCGGGCTCCAGCGTTTCCTCCTCCGCAGTGTCCTGCAGCACGGCGTGATGACGGACCGCCGAGGAGGCACGGTGGGGAGGGCGCTGAGGGAGCAAGGGGGCACATAGACTGGTCTAGGCAGAGATCAGCCGTAATAAATGTCCTCCTCGTTATCAGAAGGAGCGACGGAGCCAGCTATTATAGATGATTTTATGAAGATGAAGCATTTTCCCAAACCAAAGTCGATCGCTCCCTTGAAATAGAAGGGGGCGATACCCAGAGTGATATGAGTGCAGGACGGGAGGTCCTGCTTGTATAGTCAAGGGTGCAAAGATGATTTGACTCAAAGAAGAGTCACACCCTTACATAGACACACCATCTCATCGCATTATTTTGATTATCTAGATTAGAGATAATGAGGGTATTACAAATCAGGAGGAAGCATATTTTGGTGTACCTTCAAATCTATACTCATCTCTCCAAACGTGAAGAATCAAGAGGTGCCGTTTGCTCACACGTGGAGAGCGCCATCGTGTAACTTCTTAATCAAAAGTGTTCACCATCATCCAAAGATGTTAATCCTCCCCCGACGTTCTTATGGTCCTGTTTTTCCTCGTGAATCAAGACGAAAGAGGAAGAAAAGGCTTTTTTTTAACTTCTCTTTTTTTTCCTGAAGAACCTAATTCTCCTTTCTTAGCATGTGTTTCCATGGTGATGGTTCCCAGGACTGGATGGCATTGTTCCAAGTTCGGAGCCTGGAATTATCAGGAGGGCTGTGTAGCGTCCGTGACTCCCAGCTGTCAATCATTCACCATCAACAGGAGCCTTTCCTGTATTTTATGAAGACGGTCCCGCCTTGAATGAATCAGAGTTTTCGGGGGGGCCGCAGTGCATCTCGCCGTACGCCAGGACAGAATCAATAAACACAAGTCGGACGCAGAAACAGACTTGTTGGTGCAACGTCTAGCTTTAAGACTCTCACCGAGCTTTCGAGTGAAAGCTCTTCAGCCATTTTTGACTCAAAATCAAGCCAAAAAAAGAAAAAATGAAGAACAACTTCTGAACACGAAGGCTCCGCGGGGGAGAGCTTCACCCGACACAATGTATAGTGACATTGTAGTATTTTTTTCCACTCATTTCCAAACAACTGTACACACCTCTGCTCCATTACGAAATCTTTTTTTTACAGATGTCTAGAAAATGGAGGAATGTGATTCTTTCAGCCCTTTTTGTACAGATTTCAAGCACATCGCTCTATTTATAGAAACACGATGGAGGTGCGGGGCGGTTTGTTTCAGCCCTGCTGACGTACAAGGTCATTTTTTTGGTCCACAAAGGAAAGGCTTTAACATGCCTCCTTATAGCCAATAGTTAAATCAAACCAAGAACGTTTCAAATGCAATTGCTGATCTGATCAATGTATTTATTACTGCATTTGTGTATTTATTGTTTTTCCCTTTTTCTTTCCTCTCTATTTATTTGGTTATTTATTTATGCTATCTATATACTGTAAGTATTTATTTAACGATGCTCTGTATGTCTGTGTGAACTGAGTACTTTTTCTGATGGGCACTTTTAGCTGTAGAATCCCATCGTAATACCAAAGATTAACATTGCCTCCCTGAATGTACGGCCTGACTCCCAAACCCTGGTCCCGACCCGACCCGACCCGACCCGTCCAGCCCGACCCACCCAGTGATGTTGCGTATCTCTCTCTCTCTCTCTAAGGCCTGGCCTTTGGTTTTGGTTTTTTCGTTTGGTTTTGTAGAATAATGGGGATTTCTTTACTCTTGCAAATGTCTCTGCGGTCAGCTCTTAACGCCAAGGCCAAAGCTTGTTTGAATGTTGTGATAATATTTATAATTAATACTATGAATAATAAGAACAATAATTATAATAACGATGATGACGATGATGTGGCATCCCATAGGTTCACAGGTTGCTTGTAAAGTTGTGTTCAGACCAATGCCATCTGGCGGAGTGTGTCAAGTGTCTGGGGACCCACTTAAAGCGTCGTCTGCAGGCCCTGTCGAGTGCGAGTCCTTCAGGGTCACATGCAAACATGCGCACTGTGTGTCTGCCTGGGGAAATGCATGGTTGTGACCCCCCCCCCCCCATGTCCCTCACCTGCCCCCCTCCCCAGTGCAGTGCAGACACTCCTGTCTATGTCCGACTCAGTGTGATCTCACCGTCCTCCACATGCCAAGCCTTCTGACAGTTGTCTCAGTTCCATCAGGGTTCTTAGGGTTCGCTCCTGGACCTTCGGGGTTCTGCAGGTGTGCTCCCGGGGTCTTCTTGGGTTTCTTGGATTTTTGTTCCCTGGGTTCTAAAGGTCTTAAGGTTCGTTCCTGGCATTCTGGGTGTTTCTGGTTTGTTCTTCATCTTCTCTGGATCTCTGATTTGGTTTGAGGCCTCTTGCGATCGTAGACTTTGTCCCTGGACCTTTAAAAGTCTAAAGCCACTTTTCCACTGCACAAAAAACTCGTTAACACCCACGTACATCTGGCTGTTTAATGTTGTGGGAAAGGTTACGATCACGCTTCACTTCTGGGTCAAATGACAGTCACGGCTCCGGCTACGATTGGCATTTATAGAAATGAAGGCGCTAATTTTTTCCCCTTAACCAGGGAGATGCAGTGACGAGCCTTGTCTCCACCCAAGCAGCGCTCAAACATCGATCCAAATTCGTCTGAGATTGAAACAGAGACTGAATATGTTTGAAATACATGAAAAGAAGTAACCACCATAACATTTTCACTGGCCGCCATGCTGCTTTCTAATGTTTACTAACCTGTTTTCTGGCCTGTTTGTGACACTGAATGTGACACACCAAACACGCACAGAAAGGCGTACTCTAGTCTTGTACGCAGCTTTGGTCACCGGCAGTGAGAAAGGAGTCTATCACCTATTTTTAGCTGATTTTCCCATGTTTAAAAATGGAGGGTACATGCTCTGATTTTAGTGGAGAAGGGCTATAAAAAAGTTAGCTCCTCATTTTGTAAGAATCTTAGATTGTGTTGCTTCTGGCCCTCTGTTACCTCTTCTCCACCAAATTAACTCTGATTCTTGAACTGGTTATGTTCAGCTTTACTGGAATCTGGTGCTATCCAGCAAACCAGCCCTCGTTTCCACCGGTTTTGAGCAGAACCATTGTAATCAAAGATGCGTCATTGACGGAGGCTGTTGCACAATGGAAGTTAACAGCAGTAGCAAGATGGCGGATTGTACTGATTAGCTACAGACGTTTGTTCTGTCAGAAATTTGATTTTATCCAAAAAACCAAGCGTGGACCAACGATTAATGATAAGAAGACGTAGAAGATGTGTTAGACTCCTTGCTCTTAGTACAACATGTAGAGAATGACACGCCCTGTCATATTTGTATTTGAGTAAAATCTGCTGTTTTTTGGATCCAGCTGGGAACAAATTTGTTGTTGGTTGAAATGCTCCGACTGGTTCAACATTAGGTGTGCGAACCGAAACTGAACCCGTTCCATGTTGGTAAAAAAGAGCGTCAGGGTTCACTCCTGATCATGTGGGGTTCTTGCAGTTTGGTCCAGGTTCTCTCAGGTTGTTTGGGTCCCTCAGCAGCTCGTACAGGGACAAGTGATTTGGTTTTCCAGCCTGCTGCGTTGTGAATGCCTAAATGAGGAGAGAATCTTTGCAGAACTGATTCTGACCCCGGCGTAAATGCTGCCAAAGAGTGGCGAGGCTAGCTTGGCCGTTTTCCACCCTTTCCCTCCATCTCTCCGTCTCTCTCTTTCTCTGTCTTTAACGTTGGAAGGGGGCGGATTGCCGGGGCCCCCTTCACAGCGTGCACTTGAAAGACGGGCGGTCATGAAAGAGGCCATCGACTTTTTCGCGGACTTCAAAGGGGAGGCTTTTTTCATCCCGTCTCCTCTCTGGGTATCTGGTCTGGGGTCCGCTCTTGGCCAGACCTGTGGGCTTTAGGGGGCATTCACAGGGGGCGGGGGGAGATCAGAGAGGAGGCTGAATCATCCAGAATGAGGATGGTGGTAGTGGTGTGTGTGTGTGTGTGTGTGTGTGTGTGTGTGTGTGTGTAGCAGAGGTGGGAGGGGGGTTGTTTGAGGAATAGGAGGTGTTGGAGTAGTGGGGCATGGAGCTGAATTAAACTTTAATGAGCAACAATTGTAAGCATGCTGAGAGCGAGGGGGGGGGGGGGGGGGGGGGGGGGGGGTGCGGTTGAGTCTGCACAGGGGGGAAAAATAAAAAATAAAAGAGCTGGGAGGCTCCTCTGCCGACCCCTGCTCACTACTGTCATTGTATCAAAGCTGAGGTGACACCTTTCAGGTTTCTCTTTGTCTCTGTGACTCAGAGCCCAAAATGGAGACAGAGCTTTTTGTATTGAGCCACCTTCTGCTCCATGTCAAACAGGGAAGCTCTTCCCTTTCTGTACAGATGGGAGGCAGGGGGAGGGAGGGAGGGAGGGAGGAGTGACTCCAGTTGGCTGCTGCAGGTGATCAGCAGTGCCATTTTAGCCTGCGGCACCCCCTAGTGGCTCTTTTAGAAACTTGACCCTGAAACAAGTCTGGCAGCCGAGGCCGTCGCAGAGTGATTCTGAGGGGAGCGAGGATGATGATGATGATGAAATAGTGGAACTGAAAGCGATTATATACTTTCAGAATAAAAAAAGAGAAAAAGACCAAAAAAAAAAGTCATTTTTTGATAATGTTTAAACCAAAAAAACAACCAAAGATTGATGGGTAACTGCTGAATCGTTATGTATCTTGGGTAGTTTTAGCAGTTCCCTATCAGAGCTACCGTAGCACTCAGAGGATTCAAAAAGCACCAGTGGATTTTGATGTGCTGATTATTTATGTTGCATTGAAACAGTATTATGTTGAGCTGGAACTGAGAAACTGACATGAGGCAGTGTCTCCAGATGGAAGTCTTTTGACTCTGTGAACCCCAGTGTCCCCCGTCCGTCTGTCCCCGCCCTGTCCCCTGTGTGTACATGAAGACTTTACCCATCTACCTCAACTGTGTGAGATGTTGTGTGGCAAAGATATTCCTTAACCAAAGAATCTATCCTGTCAGGGTGTCTGTCTATCTATCTATCGATCTATCTATCTATCTTGTCTGTCCATCCGTCTCTTCTTCATGCCTTTTACTCCAAACCAAATGTGCTGGAATCAATCCGTACCAGGAGCCGAACGAGGCCTCCGTCCAGCCAAAGCTTAAGTCCAGTATGCTAGAGTGTCCCATCGATCCATGTCCTGTATATAAAGAAAATCATTCTCAAGACCAAAAAAGAAGGAGGTGACAATCCAGGCAAGGAGGATCTTGCTATAATCAACGTTGCCTATTCCTTGTTTTCCGAAATCTAGAATCATGTGACTTGCTGTAACAGAAAAGCCCAAGAATCAAGCGCTCATCCAAAAATAAAAAAAGGTCGGAGGAGACAGAAGCTATTTTTCCACATTTGTAAGCCACCCCTCCCACCCCTGTTTTTTCCAAAATGTTTAGTGTAGTTGAAATACTGTTTGATCCCACTGTTGTAAGTAGGAATTAATGAAATCCATACAAAAAGCTTTAACCGGGGAAGAGCTGAGGGAAATATTATATTTGACTGAGTCTGAGTTTCCTCAGCTTGGACTCGACCCACCATGCTTTATCGTGCCATTCTTGTCCATGTGTTAGACTTACTAATGAATGTGGCTAACCAACCAAAGGCTTTAAAATAATAAAAAAAGATACACAACACTTTAAACGTCAATCATGGTGGGACATTTTGTATCAACAACTAAAGAAAATCCCTTTGAATACCTCATGTGAAAATTGTTTGTTGTGATGTTGCACTAAAAAAATAAAAATGACTCATTTGTAACCCAACACTGGATTTCTGTTGACTTCATTCAGACCCTGCTGGAGGTGTTAGCGCCGAGCGCTCTGGGTTTTTAAGAGCTGACACTCAACAGCATTTTTTTAAAAATGTTGTTATCCAATATTTTGCAGTCTCTAAAATCAGATTCATCCAACAAAGGTGCAAGAAATCAAACTCATAAACCCTGATGCTGCTTTTAAAGTCGACGCATTGCATGAGAAATATACAGAAAATATATATCTGCGTCTCTCAGCTCTGTAATGATTCTTAATGAAAACATTTAAACCCTCAGCAGCGTTTTATTTTCTGAACATCTAAATGCAAATATTCTGGATCTTGGGTTCAAAAATTTTGATGAATTTTCCCCAAATTCAGCCTCACAGATTTGGACTCTCTGGAACAGCTAACCCAGTAAACCCATGTTCACGCTCTCGACCTAAATTTTTTGGAACCAGCTTCACTCAAAACTTTTAGTTTAATACAGTAACATTAAAGTTTTTAGTGATCAAACAAAATCAAAGTGTCCCATGACCTGGATCATTTCCAGTTTAACATTTGTTGTTGTTGTTTAAGCATTTAATTCTACGTTATATGAACTTAACAACACTGACACACACTTTCTAACATTTCTTTCTATTCTGCTGGACAATACAAAACATACTGCAGCAGGATTAAGTGTCTCGAAAGCAAGAATTAGACAAAAAGATTCACCTCAGCACAACTTTATGTCAGACACTCTAATATCCACACAGACGGGACGTCACTAACTGTGGATACGACTGAACTCATGGAGCAAAATGTCTTTTACCACATTAACTGAAAGCCATTTGAACCACTGTGAAATACAGAAACATTAATCACTGTGTGATGGGTAACCTCAGTGATTTACAACACATTTAAATCACATTTAATCAGCTTATGGCCTGAAACACATTGTCTCATTGCATGCTGGGAAACTCCACCCTCTTAGCCCCAACACTACACAACATGTTAAGTGCACAATGATAGTGTTGTTTAATGGCCTTAAATTAATTAGACAAAATGGGGTCAGGGTTGCAGTAATCCTCACCCTTAGAAATTTGAGTCAAATTAACTCAAAACTCAAAAATTGTTGACTCAACATAAAATAATGTTTGTCAAGTTCACAGTGATGAGTTTTTGTGTCTAGTGAACATTAAGTTTTTATGTCATTTTGACAAAGTTAGTGTCATGGGTGGATCGGGGTCCATAGTGTAGCTGCCAAAGGTAAATGGTGGCATTGTACATTGCTACAAACTACGAATACGTTTGTACGCGTCATATCAGCGTTTCTAAAGTGTCGTAGCTCACGAGCTGACTTTGTCACCAGGAGGTGGAGGGGATGGTGTGACCTCAGCACGACACCTGCCGAGCTGCAGACCAATGTCAGCACTAACAAACAACAAAACTGTTTTGACTGAGTCATCACTGTGTTTGCAGCAGCTTTATAGGCACGAAGAACACTTGTTTTTTACTGAGGCATCACTGTTTTCCTGTCAGGACTGCGCTCCCACAACTCGGTATTTTGACCAAAACGAGCTTTTCTGAACATTAACCAAAAAGTTTTTGTGCCTAAACCAAACCACGCTTTAACCACAGCCTCGCTTGAATCAAAAGTTTCAACATATCTGTGACATCATGACGTGCAAATTAAACGTATGTGTAGTTTGCTGAAATGTACAATGCCAACATTTATTATGGCAACTGGAGTGTTTCTGATGTTTTGTGGTTCTAAACCAGGTGTTGTTGATATTTTTCAGGCCGAGGACACTTTAGTCAAAAGAGACGGAGCAGGGGCCTCTGACTACACTGCACATGGAACTGGGTGGATGAGGTTGTCAGCTGTATCAGCCTCAGTCTGAAGTCTTGACCTGCACAGGTGTAGATCTCAGGGGGAACGCAGGGGGGACACGCCCCCCTCAATATTTAGAACACGTACATTTGTCCTCACGAAAAAACGTAACTTGGTGATCATTTTTATAATCAGATAATCTTTTAGTCCTTTAAAGCACCAGTATGTTGGATTTCAGTGGAATCTAATCTAATGGTTGTGTTCTGGTTCCCTCAGAATGAGCTGTTTATATCTACACAGGGAGCAGGTCCTCGTCTACAGACATCACCATGTTGCACCGCCATGTTTCTACAGTAGCCCAGAATGGTCAAACCAAACACTGAGTCTAGATATCCATCCAGTCAAATTGTTACGAGAATCACTTAGTATTGAAACCAATAATTGGTGTGTTCTGTGATGAGACTGAAACTATTGATCATTTATTTTTCCAGTGTTTGTTGTTGCTTGTTGCTTGGTACCTGCCTCTCCCCAAAAGTTTTACCAACTTGAAAACTTTTCTCAACAGGACGTTTCTGGACTCGTCGTGGATGACAAGAAGGATAACTTCCTGCTAACACTCTGACTCTTAGAAAGTTTTATCAACTCAAATCTGAATATTTGAAGGCAGTGATGTAAAGTGGTTACCATGGGCCCCAGTGCACTGTCTAGTTATAAGGCACACACACACACACACACACACACACACACACACACACACCAACTGCACAGCCTGCACTGTCTTTATCTACGCTCCTGTATGAAGGTGAAACCTGGTTTGGTGTGTTCCATCATGAGTTTGTTTCCTATCTGAAAGTCCTAAAATGCATGAAAACAAAAATGGAATCAAAGTGTTCAACATAATAGATGAATATGATTTACAAAAACAGCCCTGGCTTTCAAATTATTTTTATTCTTTATTTCTTTATCCATTTAATAATTCAACATCTTGTCTGTTTGATCTCAGCTTGTTCCCCCTCTGTACTGTTGCACCTGATTCTATATCGTATTTTCGTGTCGGCCACCGTAGTTAGCAGGAGGTAAAAACCTCCTTGACAATGAACACTCATGGAATTCTGACCAGGAAAAGTTTGAGCTGGTTGTAATCTGTACTTCTCACTGACGCCACTAAATCTGACGCACTGTTTCTCTCAACAGTGAAGTGTTTATTATTGAGCTTTAGCTGGTGACTGCAACTGTGTCTGTTAATCAGCTGTGAGCTGTAGGTCTGTGTCAGACAGACAGACAGATGTGACAGTGGCATCTTCTCATCTTTAAAATAAGAAAATAAACTCAACGTCTTAAACCATTAATTTAAAATTAATCTTTGGACCTTTTGTAAGAAGTTTGTTGATGTTTGATGTGTAGAAAATAAAAAAATACCCTTCACCCTTTTCTTCTAGCTCAGACGATGTTCATGTGGCCTGCAGGCAGCGAGTCCATGATATGCTATCACATCAGCATGAGCAC